AACTTTAGGATTTTTAAGGTTCACAGTTGTCATAAATAAGGCCATAAATAAATTAAATGAAAATTATAAAAAATATAAATGTAATAATCCATCTCAAATGGGTATAAATAAGATGTGGGTTTCCTGTGGTCAACAACATCATAATGCAGGACATGCTTATGCTCATTCTGAGTGCCCTGCTCAAAATTAAGCTATTGAAACCTACATTTTATAGAATGTGTACATRCTTTTATTTCATTTTTTCTTACTTTTTCAATGTTTGGTTGGTTCTTTCATCTAAACCATTTGACTGCGGATGATAGGCAGATGTTATTCGCTGTGTAACATTGAATTTATTCAATAGTTCCTCTGTGATCTGCAAAGGTTTACATTAAGGACATTAGTTGCTGTAGAACATATTTTAGTACCTCAAGTTGCTTAATTGAACTTGTACTGGAAACATATTAGATTGTTCCTGCTTATAAAAACACACTTCAGTACATCACTATCCCTGCATATATAGGAACCTAGTAGTTTGTTTAGCTGTGAAACATCAGTACATGTAAATTTTCTATCTCATGAAGTTTGCTGTTTTTCTGAAGTGTTCTCTTCAAATACTTCCAGTACAATTACATAATTGACTTTGTCTTGACTATGTTTCAATTTATGTCAGCATTAACAAACCTTTAATGTATGGATTGTATTAATTTGCATCACCTGATTGACAAATTCCCTTCCCTGGTCACAGATGATATGAACAGGGGCTCCATGCCTACAGAATGATTTGTAGAGACCTTTAGCCACACAGAGTGCTGATTTCTCTGGCATCGGAAATGCCTCCACATACTTAGTGAAGTAGTCAGTCTGGGTTAAGACATACCTATAGATAGAACAGTGTATTGGTGTATTTAGAGGCCACTGGGTGCCCATATCACTGATATCAGTTGATTAAAATTAATAGAAATGTGAATGTAGTGTGGAAATTTGCCCTAAGATTTGTGATATCCCCACCATTCCTTTGTACACGTTTAAAATGGAATGCCATTATAAAAAGTTTTTACCTATTTCCATTTTCTGTAATCTTGTGAGCATCAATAAGGTCAATTCCTACCATATACCATGGCTGTGCCCGTACAGGAATGGGATGGAGAACATCATGACCTTGTTTTTTGGATTCCTTAGAATTTCTTTGACATCGATCACAATGTTCAATCTTGTAGTTCACCAAATAAATATTATTAATATGTAATGTAGACAATAAAAGAACTCTATTCAAATTTATTGACATCAATTATTTATTTCTTAATTTCAATTATTTATTTATATCAATTATTTATTTATTTCAATTCCATCTTTATTTTGGACAAACAATTAGAGTTTTGGCGCAAATTRCAAATTTAAAAAAATTCGTCAGGTAGGACTATACACACCATTGACATCGTGTCTTTGTAGTAATCAGGCCAGTAATATCGAGATCGTATTTTTCTGGCTGTGTTGTCTCTTCCGACGTGRCCACCGTAGTCAGACGAGTGACATTCCATAAAAATCTTTTTTTTCTCCTCTTCTCCTCTAATCACCATCAGTTTTTTATTTTTGTCGCAATACCAAAGAAGAGGCCTTTCGTCATCGCCAGCGATGTCCACAATAAACTTCTTGCTTGCCCTTCGTAGTGAATACTTCTCCGCTTTCGTAAAGTGATCAGGATATTGTTGATGTAATTTGTAATTAACTATATTRTCATAATAATGTTCATTCATTGTGACAAAGAACAAAGACAAAGAACTCAAGCRGCGTGAGCTTAAGGTCAGAAACCATGCATGAAAAGTCCCGCGTAAATTTAAATAGCTAGGGGGTCCATCTTTGTAAATGTTGCTTTTGTGGGGAGGGGAGGGGAAACACATAACACTAGTGCCCAGTGTTCGGGGAAACACAAAACTCGGGGGAACACAAATCCCTGTGACATCGCCAATCAATTCCCTCGAATTTCCCGAAAAATAAGTCATATTTTAACAAACAAACTACATAGCGTTTATCCCTATATNATGCAGGATTTTCAGGGATGATTATGCGAAAAAAAACATTAATAATGCACAGACTCTTAGTTTCTAGTGCTGATATATTGTAAGAAGTTCCCATAACAATATGTAGACTTCAAAAATCACATTTTGTAATTAGACCACATTAGTCTCCTTGGCAGTCTATCTTTTGCTGGGCTTCCTGTCCCTCCCAAGACAACAGGAAGCCCAAGTAAATGATAGGCTGACCTGGGTATCTACATTATTCAAAAAAAAAAAAACAAAAAAAACAAGTGACTTATTAACAAGCCCACAAACCTCAGTTTCAACAGATTTCTTGACTTGTTGTTTCTTTTCTTTGTATAAATTTGCTCTTTGTATCTGTTTGTCAATACTACTTAGGACAGACTCACAGCTTTCACACCTGCAAACCAATCAATGTCTGATGGTCAAGTAATTATTGCCTGTGAATACCAGTTTGATCAGTTCCCTCAGTATTTTCCAGGCATAAGGGCATGGCGGTCTTTCAGATGACATATATCAGGGTTTGTGCTACATTTTCACTACAAAATTCCAGGACTTGGCCATTCAAGTACTTTTACAAAAAAAATGTGACAGAAGTATTTTTGAAAATATTTAGATGTTTGCAGAAGTTTCAAGCGGCAATTTTCAAAAGTAGCCACATTCCAATCCATAAGCTAATGAGCAACATGATGTCAATTTTATCATATTCAAGGAGTTTTACAGGATTTACAGGAAAAGTGAAAACCAGTTTTCACTTCCAGGACTTTTCAAGGACTTCAAGGAGTAGCACAAACCCTGTGATTGGTAAATCAAAGCCCTGACATACCATTCATTCAAGACATCTGCTATGATAGTAACCATCTCTGGTTTAATGTCCCTGCCCAGGGCATACTCTACTTCTATYTGCTTGTTTTTCTGGTCTAGCTTGCCATGTATGATATCAGCATAGATGGCTTCTATAATTAAATCCTGAGAACACAAATTGACACAACACAGTTATTAGCATGGGCCATCGACAATTAAAAATATTTAAGAGACATTGTAATATTAAGCAAAACCTTATTCTTTATTATCCYTTTTTTCGATATGATTTTTGGTTTTTATACCAATGAAAGGAAACACAAATTACATGACTTTTGTTTGAGTTTGAAATCAAAATATACAAGCATTGAATGCTTTAAGTATAGTCAAGTCAAGTCAGTCTTTATTGCACTTTTCAGTTTGTTATTTTTTTTACAATTTATATTTATCTCCCTCTCTATTGTTTTTTTCTCTTTTCAATTAAAACAAAAGTCATAGTCAAGAAATNATTAACTATATTATCATAATAATGTTCATTCATTGTGACAAAGAACAAAGACAAAGAACTCAAGCAGCGTGAGCTTAAGGTCAGAAACCATGCATGAAAAGTCCCGCGTAAATTTAAATAGCTAGGGGGTCCATCTTTGTAAATGTTGCTTTTGTGGGGAGGGGAGGGGAAACACATAACACTAGTGCCCAGTGTTCGGGGAAACACAAAACTCGGGGGAACACAAATCCCTGTGACAGCGCTATGATAGGCGGAAATCCGAACATAAAAACCGAGCTAAGACCGATTAGAATCCGAGCTAAAACCGAATAATACCCGAGCGAAGGATCTGAGAATCAAGCTAGTGCCAAAAGCAATAAAGGTTACGGCTATGATAGACGGAAATCCGAACATAAAAACCGAGCTAAGACCGATTAGAATCCGAGCTAAAACCGAATAATACCCGAGCGAAGGATCTGAGAATCAAGCTAGTGCCAAAAGCAATAAAGGTTACGGCTATGATAGACGGAAATCCGAACATAAAAACCGAGCTAAGACCGATTAGAATCCGAGCTAAGACCGAATAATACCCGAGCTAAGATCGAAGAAAACCCGAACAGTAAAAATCGAGCTAAGACCGATTAGAATCCGAGCTAAGACCGAATGATACCCGAGCTAATACCGAAGAAAACCCGAAAAAAACCCGAAGAAAGAACCGAAGAAAGACCGAAAAAAAACCCAAAAAACAAAATAATAGGTCGAGCACGAGCTGAGAGTGGACTGAGAATCACTGTGTGACGTCGCTGCCGGTTGTCGGACGTCTGTTTAAAGAATGAGTATATATAATATATAGCTCTCTCGGCTTGTTCTCCTCTTATCATGACTTATCATTCGATTTTTCATCATCACTTTATCCGCATTGACACCTTTTAACAAGGTACGTATACCACAAAATATGAACTGCAGCTTTCTTGTAAATTAGCTATAGTAGAATCCAGAGGAGCTACACTTGAAAAAATCGCGCGCTTTAAAGGTTGTAAATTTGATGTAAATATGATGTAAGTGTCCAAWATTCTGTACATCAAATTTACAGAATTTTGGACACTTATATCATATTTACATCAAATGTACAACCTTTAAAGCGCGCGATTTTTTTCCAGTGCTGGCGGKTTCCTGGGAGAAATATATCTGTTCTTATGTTCCAGCCAGCTGTAAGTCACAACTGGTTGACAGCAAGAAATTCAGAAAAAAGAACTCTCCAGGCAAGGAATACGTTTTAGAATTTTTTGCCAGGAAAATAAAGATTTTCTATCTAAAAGAAATATAAGCCGCTTTTTACCATAAAAACGTTATATCACTTTCCAAGGAAAAAATTCGTACAAGAACAGTTATTTAGAAGAGCAGACCTCGTCGGCTCCTCCATGAAGAATAGATTGTACAAGTTATGTAGTATTGAATTGTTTTTTTTTTCTGTTTCGAGTGAATATTTAACTATGTTATGAGACCTTTATGAAAATTCAGCGAGAATAAGAAGCTTTTGGCTTTTGTTTTGTATCATCAAGACCAAAGTTCRCAGTTTTTTCTGAAAAGTGATTGAAAATTACGCTCTATTTTTGTCTTTTTCACGGATTTAACTGTTCAGTCTTAAAAAATAACGGCAAAACATTGTTGTACTCCTTTTTAAACATTCATTATGGCTAATTATCTGGGAYAAAAATGATTGAAATTCGTTTGAACCTCAGAATCTACCACCAATAACGTTTTAGTAACTGTACTGGCCCACTATCAACAAATACACACTCTTTATTAAACAAAGAGCTATTGGATTGCTATAATCTAACGTATCTATTTTCTGAAACATTGACACCGAGAAATAGAAGTATGGTTTTACTTCAGTGGGGAATTATTAAAACGACAATTTGAGGTTCNATATTTGGTGCTTGTTTGTTCCACCATTTGGCTCTAATTTTAATGTTAAAAAAAACAACTTTCTTGAAAGAAGCACTTCAAGTTCTTTTAATTTGAAGTTGACAGCTATATATTTGGTACTTCATTGCTTGGCTCTAATCTATTGTTAATTTTTTTTCTTAAAAAAAAAAAAACAGCTTCTGAAAAAAGCTTCTGAAAGCTTAATTATATATCCTATTGTGGTCGATATTCCACTTGCAAACAGACAACAAAAACATCAGTCTGCTGTTCAAATAGCTGGGTAAATATTTAATGCTTTAACGATTCTCAGTTTTGAAGGACACATTAAAAGCAAATACAGAATAGCTTCCATTGTTCCTATCTAATCTCGTATACATCGGGATTCCTTTGTCGACATCCTGACCGAAAGTGGCCTGGACCCTACCTATAAAAAGCTGAAAAAAGCTTGAGGAATGCATGGGGAGCTTGGTTATCCGTTTATAAATGACCTTCACGGTAAATGACTTAACATATCTGATTAGATTTGTATAATTCAGATAACGTCTATATCATTGTTAAAATGGCTTCCTAGAGACAGTCGGCGTCCACATGCGGACTGATGTAGCGATAAGCGTGTTCATCAAGTAATCTGGCATCTATGCCTCTTGCATTGAATCAGAATTGGAGGCGAAACCTTCTTGATAAGTAGTTTTTAATCTTTTCTTTCTCTACATTTTATGATAACTTCATCGTGTCTAGAGCCTTTTTTCAGGGTCCAGTGTACGCACGCTGATTGGTGACAATCTTTAGGTCTAAGCGCGGGAAAACTTGACGCTCGCACATCATGATTCAAGGTCCACTGGGGCGTTCGCACATCATGATTCAAGGTCCACTGGGGCGTTTGTGCGAATGCGGACGATCCAATTTTGGCGGGACAACTTGACGCGCGCAAAATGATTTAAGGTCCACGATCCAATTTCGGCAAGAAAGCTTCTTGTGCGCAAAGATTGCATGTGTAAAACTAGTTTAAACCGGTTTTGGGGGGTTAATCCAGGATTTGCCTCAATGAAGCTTTAAATAATCCGTGGCCTTGAGGTGACCTAGCGATTTCACGTTATCTTTGATCGTATACAGCTGCGAAAACTTGGGCAATATTGATGTTTGACTCAAAAACTCCACTGTTGTTCAATGACTACCTACTCTTAACGCCATTTGAGCCATTCTTCTTGCTATCAATCCACTTAATGTGACATCATTTACAACGCTCCTGACAAGGAAACGTCTAAAAGTAATGTTTTGTTAGAAAAGTTATATGTGAAGTGTTTTTCTTTGTTTTTCTTTCGACTTTTAATATCAAACCGGAGACAGCGACCTTTGTAGCGCTCGCCAAAGAGAGTCCAACTGGCCCAACTTCTACATCRATTCAACCAATTTTGCTTTAGCTCGACATGCTGCACATGACAATGGCGTTGTTTCAATTAGGCATATTGTTGGGTGTAGATTTGTAAACGCTTTTTGTTAATCTATAATCCAAATCCTCCATGGATTGGCTGTCATTTCTTGTCCGTTTTCTTCACTTGAAAACTTCGTCATTAAAATACCATAATTACATTGGATCGTAAATTGTTTTATAATTATCTATAATTATCATATAATTATATATATATTTCGTCATTTCGTAAAGTTGTTATTTTCACTGGTAAAAATAACATTTCGAGGTTTCTCTATATAGTTAAAGTAAAAATAAAGGTATTTTACGACATAATTTGCTTTCATATGTAATTATATGATACAGTAAACAAAATATTACATGGTCGCTTGGAGATACGAATTTTATCTTCTCGTTTTGAAAATCTTTCCAACACTTAGTACTCGAAAATAAAGTCCGTATCCCCGCGCGCCTATGTAATATCCTTTATATATCCCCCTGTCARTTTTTTGTTTAAAGAAATGCAAATTTACCTGGTTACTGTAGTACTGCTGTAAGGTTTATTGGCATKTTATGCTCTTACAATTGGCATTTATCCCACAAAGCGCTTGGCTCCATGTAGGATGCTGTGCGTTTTTATTTATAATATTCAGTATCACAAATTTTGTTTCTTTGCCTGCAGAGTTGACGAGAATAGCGGTGAAAGTCGACTTGAAGATCTCCTATCGGTAAGTGACGCTAAATAGTAATAATAAGTATCATTCGCTGCGAGGATTTTATCTTCAGCTCAAGGTCTTTGCTTCGCGGCCGAATTTTCTGCAAAAATCTTGTAGTYTTGTCGATCGAGAACGTATTTGTTTAGTACAAGTCTATTTAGACTTTTTGTTTATTTGACTGATGATGGTTTTGTAATAAAGTCGATATATCGCTCTTTATAATGAGTTTTGGCACAATTTTGACACTTGAACGTCAACTCATATATTGAACATTTTCGCTTTTATACCTTAAATATTTTATCAAACTAAAGTACTAGCGCTTTCCCTGGATTCTRAAGTCTAATGATTCTCATTTGTGTTATTTCTTGAAAAACATTTTGTAGTTTGACTTAGAATTTTTAAATTAAAATATTAATATTGTCCAACTTGGCAAATGCATCCATTCTGATAATAACTATATACTGATTATTCTGGTATTTATTATTTTCATGACATTTGAAACGAAAACATATTGAAAAACCCTAAACTTGAATGCCTTTATAATAGTATTGTCAACATAATCTTTAATAAATCGAGGATTTCAATACCTTTCTGTTATAAGACTTAAAAATAAAATATTAATTAGCTATAATTATGCCGTGGGAGTATC